TCCATTTTTCCTTCTCTCTCTCTCTCTGTCTCTCTGTGCAGATCTGTGTGTCCCCCCCCCATAGCTAGCCATCCAAAAGAGTCCAGTGGCACCTTTAAGACCAAGGTTTATTCAGGTACAAGCCGGTAACATGGGGGTGTGGCCTAATATGCTAATGAGCTGTGCTGTCAGGGGTGTGGCCTAATGTGCTAATGCGTTTCTGCTGTCGGGTGTGGCCTATTATGGTAGTGAGGTCCTGCTAGTGAGGTCCTACCTTGAATAAAACAGCTGGTCTTAAAGGTGCCATTGGACTTGAATGTTGTTCTGTTGCTTCAGACCCGAAACATTTATACAGTGCAGGTTCGTACTTGCCTCATCACCTGAAGCAAGGAAAAAACTGCATCCTAGAAATCAGGTCCTCATCTGAGAGGGGCCCCCTCCCATTGTTTGCATAAAAGGGAAAAGAGCCCCCCTAACAAAGTTCAACTTGGGAAATGGCATGCAGGATGGTATCCCTCCTTCTCCCACCCCAGAAGCAGCAGAACAAGAGCGACACATGCCCCATTATGCACAAGGCCTGCCATTCTGAAGGCTGCAGGCAGGCTGTTCTCTGGGAGGTGAGAGTAACGCAGCCTCCACGACACAGCTGTCTTGAAGAGGGCTCTGTTCTGAGCACAATAAACTGGTTGCCTGGGTTTGCATTCGCTTTCTATCCCTCCCCCACCAGAGAAAAGGGAACAAAAAGAGAGCAGGAATCTTGCTAGGCCAATTGCAAATCCTGTATAGCCAGCGGATATATTTTATGTTTGGCTCACTGCTGATCAGTTCCCAAGAGCGGCTGAAATCCCTACCTTTTCTCACACACGTATAGGGCTGCCAAGTGGGGGCGGGTGGCGAGTAAACCCCCGCTTTGGAGGCCCGATTTCCGCTGCCGTGGAATCGGGCCCCGGGGTGAACTCCGCCCCCCCCCCGGAAGCAGAGGTGACGCAACCACGTCGATCACTTGGGGCCACGCCCTCAACGTGATCGGCGTCGCGCGTCACTTCCGGTGACGTACTGGAGGCACGCCAAGGTACCTACGCACATAACCTGAAATTTTTCAGGCCTGTGGGAGAAAGTCAGACCTTAAAACACACCTAGTCTCACGTACTTTTATTTAAAATACTGAATTATTTAAAATATTTTAGTAATGTTTTAAATGTGTAAAATGTTTAGCAACAAAATAAAATTGCATTTGGGATTCTTTTATGCATGTTTTCTTAAAGTGGAAAGCAGATTTAAAATCTATCCTTGTCTTTGGCCCAGACTTTTATCCACTGGACGAAATACTGGAAAAGGTGGGGGAGAGGGATGCTTTTAACAAGGCTTCCCTGTCCTGTGGCATGTTTTTCCTTCTAACTCCATGAAGTGAAGTAGACTAGAATCACCTTTAAACACAAGCTTATAATTCAGGGAAAGGGAGCAGAGTTCCCATGAAGACAGATATTCCAAACTGAAAATAAAACATCACATAGTTGGATATATTTTCAGGTTGCCAGATGAAAAGACAGATAATTCTCTTCCTGGAAGGCTGCAAGCTACATATAGTTACAGGTGTGGCCAAACTGCAGCACGGGAGCCACATGCGGCTCTTTCACACATATTGTGTGGCTCCCAGCAGAGCAGCTGGGGAAGCAAAGGGGAGACATGCTTCCCTTATGGGTCTTCCCCTTGCTTCCTTTCCACCTCCCCCCATCTATTTCCTTCCTTCCCAATTTTCTTTCTTTCTCTCTCCCCCTTTCTTCCCTCCCTCCTTATCTAAAGTTTAATATCATTATCAATATCTGTTTTTACTCCTTTTGTTTTTATTTTTGGCAGTCTCATTTAATGTCAATAAAAAGCAAATCTGCATATTTTTCAATAGAAACATGTGGGTTATATATGTTCACGTCTTGCGGCTCTCAAACATCTGATGTTCCTTCTATGTGGCTCTTACATTAAGCAGGTTTGGCCACCCCTGATGTAGTAGCATGGCACCATGCCAAATTGGGCCTGTATGCACTTGAAAGCTGAGTGTGAAAAAAATCAGTGAGAACTCCAAAGATGGGAGTGGGAAAGAATCTGATATTCACAAGAAATGAGCAAACCAGTCACTTTGCTTTGTGCTTAGGTTTAAGCAGGGGTCATTTCCTGCAGGAGCGCACAGGAGCGGAGCTCCAGCAGTAAAGAGCCCAGGGGGCGGGCACATGCAACAAGCCCCACCCCCTGCTCCCAGCAGCCCTCAGTCAGAGCAAGAAGCAGCCAGGTAAGTTGCAGAGCCCCCCCCTCCAAAACAGTCCAGTGGCACCTTTAAGACCAAGTTTTATTCAGGTACAAGCTCTCCCTCCTCTGCGAGGACAGATCTGCACGTTCCCCCCCATCCCCGATAGATAGATAGCAATCCAAAACAGTCTAGTGGAGCCTGAGTGGTGGGTGTTGCCTTCTGACACACTTCCGATGTCAGGGGGTGTGGCATATAGGGTTGACAAATGTTACTTACCTCCTCGGCGGGGGACTCCCGGGTACCTCCTGGAGCGTG